TCGGCAAGACAGACGCCTGTACCAGTTTGCAAAACGCAAAATACTACTAAAAATCTAAAAACCCAAGCCTACATTATTTACAAACTACACTAACAATAAGGAGAGCATGAGGAGGGCGGAGGGGAGGGGGCGAGGGTAGTGTCTGCGGCACATCCTACCTTTCTAAAAAGCTAGGTGTCGTGCTGTACATATGATACATGAATAAAAGGGAAACGCCAAATCAAGAGACAAAGGCAGACGCAGCCAAAACAATAAAATGAGCTAAAAGAAAGAAACTAACAAATCGGGAATCGATGTCAAGCAAAAATGATTTGCAGTGTGCTCGAAGCTCTTTGTCGCTTTGAAGATATTCGAATACAGTCGGCGTTCCAATACATAAAACGCCATTGCAACGAGAATTCCGAATGCCAATTAGCAAAACACGCAAAGATTCATCACTAAACCAGTACTGCTGCAACAATGCATAATTCTAGAAGTTTCGAGTACTTTGCTGTTCTGAATTCACTGGAAGTGGATGTATCTCTATCTTCCCAAAACAGAAGGAAAATAATTGGCCAAAGCACGAGCTGCCCGTGCGAGGATGCGTTTTTTGCATAGCTCCCCAGAGATTTTTGTCGCTAACGGCACTGGTTTTTCCGGGAGATACTTCTAGCTAAAAGAATTTCAAACTGGACGCCAGGACTGTCATTCAAAATTCTAGTCTTCTAGCCTCTCACGTTCCCGAGTTAGCAACTTACCTGACAGAAACTCTCACGGGCCAGTACGTAGGCAATATCCTTACCCGCAGGTAGGGTTTAAACTCGTTAATACCTACTCGAAAGGGGAAAAGTGCCCTAGGATTTCAGCGTTCTAGCTTCTGAGACCCCCGAGTTATGAACTCACCCGGGAAAAATTTTGGGAGGCTTGTGTGTGGGTACCACGCGGGTAAGGGCGCCCGTTTTAGGGATTGGGACCCGTACGTGCATGTAGATTAAGTTTCCAAAGTTTCAGCTCTGTAGTTTCTGTAGGTCTTGAGATGAAAAATCGGTACAGACGCACACACAGATACACGGGCACACAGACTCGTCAATATGCATTTCCCGCACTGCATAGCTGCAAAAAACGCATAAAAAGGAGATGCCCATTACAACGCTCGTTAAAATCATCAGGTGATGCAGCAACAGTAAGAAATCTCAAAAATTTTTTGCCAGCTGCACGAACAGTATGAAAAATCATTAAACCTCATCGAAATGCACGTCATTATGTAAGTTTCACTGCCGGTAAGCCAACTAGAAAATTACCTGAGGACCCTACAAAATAGTGCAAGTCCCTCATTTGGAAGTTGCCTCAAAATCATCCTTTATGAGACCTACTGATCTCGACATCACTTCTTATTTCCACCGATTCTATACTAATTCCAGGCTTCAGTTTTGCATAAATTCAGATCCCACGCCTTTTCCAACCTCTCTTTTTGTCTTATGATAGGAATTACTTGATACATACTAGCGAATTAATTTCAGAGAAAAAAGAAAATTAGAAGGATCCTTATGCCGAAAAACGAACTGGTTGAAGAAAGATATGCGATGCAAAAATCTGTAAAGTGCACACCCACTTTTTCTATAACAAAAAATGATAAACCAAAGCATACACTTTCTGAATGTTTCTGTGTAAGCGGGGCAAGTAGCTGCGTTGGACGCCGTAATTCGGCTATACTGACCGGTCCTTTCAATGGATGAACATGGGGGAGGAGAAAGATGTCGTTGCATTTTGAACAATAATATTTAGCTTTGTTCTTCCACGAGTTTACTCTGCAAATATGCCAATTTCCGTATACTACTCAATTTAAAACTGCAAAGTTTAAAATGAAGTAGCAAGACAGGGACGGTATTCAGTTCAAATTTGTGACAAACAATCGTTTTGTGAAATTTAGTCGCGGAGGCATTTCATACAAAAATAAAAATTACCTATTACAAAAGTAATATTCAATAACGCTTAATAAAGGAAGACAATACATGGACAAGACGGATTACTGAATGGACAGAAAAGAAAGGCTCGATTATTCAGTTGCCATATATATGGAAACTGGGCGGTCAGCCAGTGCGATGGATAAATCCCACTTGATCGTTTATAGACATAGAAAAGAAAAGGTTAAAAAGCTCGATAATACGAATGCTTTAGCAAGATAAATGTAAAGTTACCCAACAAAGGTGACGTCTTCCAAACTGATCATTCAATTTTCATTTTAACACTTCTGAGGAAATTCAATTCCGCAATTAGCCGACAACAAAGGAAATGCAGGAAAATTTAATTGCAAATATCCTAAGAGAGAAAAAATTAGAAATTTGCACTGTATGCAGCTGCTGCTTCCCAATGAGTACACACAGTTGGTGTGAATATGTTAGAGATATGCAAAAGGCCGTGCGACTAAGCGCAAAGCAGATCAAAAAAGTTCCCGAAGAAATAATACATAACTTGAAATTTATGCAGAACACGCAATCTATTCGCAGTGTAGTCTGTATTTTCAGGAACTATTGAGAAAATATAATTCATCGCAGTCTCAATATGCAAAACAAGTGCAACAAGACAAACCGTGCACTGCTTTATTATACTTTATTGGGATGCCTCCACAAGTGTACCTAATTATATCAGGCCCCTTGTCCCCAGGCTGCACATCTCCATCCATTGCCCATTACCTGTTTGTTATATGTGCACCACGTTTGCAAAAGTCGTGTGCCGATTACCGGCAAGATAAGCAGCAAGCACTGTCCATCAAATTTTATTTCCTTGCATGGTCGCAATAGGCTGCTCATCTGACGAAGAGTCTGGTTATTTATATAGTTGTCGAGAGACAAGTCAAGGAACCTTCGTCGCCGCCGTCACAGCAGCATTCGCTCTTAAGCTTTCATCAGTGGCAACGTTTGCATCCCTACGCCACTGCCTTCAACAGAGTAAAACTGATGAGGTGGGTACACTCGCATTCGCTGCTTACAGAGCACCGACGCTGTTATGACATTTGAGCAGGCCAGCAGCGGATACTGTAACGCATATTACTTCCTCCCCAAGATAGACGCAGCTGTCAACTTCTTCCTAGTCGAAATAGCAGTCTAACTGTGAGCATAATGACATTCGGTATCACACTCGTCTTCAGTGCGCCAATTTTCAGACCCATTTCTTTACTTTGTGCATTGAGCTCCTGCAGCATTCCTTTGCTCGAAATCAAAAACCTGTTATCCGCAAAGCATGACTCAACTTCTAGGGCCACCTTTTCAATCTAACTTCAGAATTGCCATCCCAAGGCAGGCCTTGAAAGGCTTAAGCGGTAAGGGGATCGTGTTGTCTTCCTTTCGATTGGCATTCGGACTGGAATGAAAAAAATGTTATGTCTGGCAAACAGACTATATCTCACTAACAGGCATCAATCCCTCTATTTACGTGAAATCGTCGGCAGCATCTTTTCTCATTCTCTTCATTTTTCATCCAGTTTTAGCTACATTCTAAAAGTAAAGGGATTTTCTCAGCAGTAGGGTAGTTTATAGTAGTGAAAGGACTCAAATACGGATTCTGCGGTGCAGTTTCCCAGCCAAACACAGTTCCCACCTGAGTGGGCTTGTAGTATCACGAAGTAAAAACTCACTTTCTACGTATTTTTGCGTAACAAAAGGAAGACTTCAGTGCACTTCCTGTAA